GGGGATTCACTCTCAGTTTGATATGGGTTCAGCTGATTTACCTCCGGATATTAGACGCATGCTGACATGCCGTCACAGCGTCCTCCGTAAGTCACTGGTGGACAAGGAAGAATGGCTGAAGCTACTTCGACAGGAGCGCAAGGACTATCGTCGCTCTCTGCGGGCTCAACGCCGTAGCCTACGGACTATCTTCTCTGCCCCCCCCTCTCCTGAACGCTTCCCAACGTTCGTGGGACACTAAGCGCCCTGAATTCACCCCGCCTCGTTGCGGGAGAAGTCATTCTTAATGACATGACTTGAGCAACTTCTGTATAGGTACAGATGCCTCCCATGGTTCAAACTCGTTGTTGACTCACCGCTCCACAGTACCCTTGACCTTTACAGCCGAATAATTCACCGGCAATCGAATGCCCATCAAGTAGCATCCTAACGATTAATGTCTCCGTTATTACAATACGTTGAACAATGGTTGACTCGCCAGCCTTCAGTTCTTATTCCGACATGGCAGCAAAAAGAGGCCGCCTGTGAGAAACGGAGACGCTGTATTCACTCTTATTTGATGATGAATCATCCATTGATGATGAATCATCCATTTTGACAAATCTGAGGCACCCAATCGTATTATAGTGGTAGTGTAAAATGGTGTGTAGGATGTTTTCTCACCCCTCGTGTAGAATTCAAGGTTGGGTGAGGTGTACTCACGAGTATCGGTAACCGTCCTGTTTGTAATGTCATCATCAATGATGAAGTTGGTTGATTTTGCAGTTGTCCCGGTGAATACAGCAACAATTTGCCAATTCCCCCGCTTCTTGCAAATCCAAAGGCGAACGATACAAAAGAGCATTGTGTCCATTGTGCCCTCATCAAGCAGGTAGTGAGCTTTGTGAAGAAACAAAACCGATTCCGTCTGCTCATTAGCGATATTGAACAAGGCAATCATTTTATCCAGCTTTTTAAATACGCCGTCAACTACTTGTTGAAAGGATTAAAATTGGGGGATGGATGGATGGATGGATGGATGGAATTGATGGATGGAATTGATGGATGGAATTGATGGATGGAATTGATGGATGGGATTGATGGATGGAATTGATGGATGGAATTGATGGATGGAATTGATGGATGGAATTGATGGATGGAATTGATGGATGGAATCGATGGATGGAATTGATGGATGGAACTGATGGATGGAACTGATGTGTGCTCTATACTGTACAGTCTTTTGAAGTAAAGGTTGAAGGTGGAGCACCACTCAAACACCCGGCAGAGTGAGGACTTCCAAATTTGCCGTGGCCACTCTTGGGAAATATCCAATACGTCATCATTGGACCCGTTCTGTGTGACACTCCCAACCATTGTCCTACTTTGTTTGTTCCCAGAGCGCCGTCTGTTCGGTAGTATACCCATCCGAGGTATCGACTTGTGGTTGAAATAGGCTGTGTGGGTTGAGAACTTGCCTTTCAGTCTTGGTCTTAGGAACATGTGGTCTGGTAGTATGGCGGATCTTGTTCCCCTTTGTAGTGTTGATCTCAAGGTGGCGCGTGCTCTGTGCAAACCGATTCCTAGTCGTTCAGATAGGTTTTCTGCCGTTGCTTTGGTGTGTCGTTCTGTGGATACAAAGGACGGCCTCACAGGTACATCTGCAAATTGTGCATCATCGTCCATTTGTCCAACTTGTTGGAAGAACCTCTCCTTATTGACTATTGTCTGCTGTACCGTGCGCCATTTGTTCATTTCTTGCATGATTGGATCCAATTGTCTCAATTCAGTTTCGTTGGATCTTGGATCATCTATTGGGTCTTTGTGGACAATTGAGACTTTCCCAAGTTGTATGGTACCTGGGTTCCAAGGCACCTTGCTTTTCATATCAATGTGGGGGCAATTTGCAAGTTCTTGATCAGTTGCGGCCCTTGAATCAAATAGTTTGCCTTGAGTGCAACGAATATTGGCTTAGTTTTGATGCCAATATTCCTCACCTCATCAAACGGATTGTCCCATAGGGGAATTCCGAACTTGCGGACTTGGTTTGGGTTGATCAATGAATGATCTAACCGGTTCCCATAGTAAAGTGCTTTGTTGAATATCAATATGAACGTGTTGCCGCTCTGTGGGCAGTCATAAGCGGTCGCCCCAGATACAATTGGTACATTGGTTGGTGGTAGAGCTGGGTCGTACGCGTACACATTGGCCAATCTTGGTGTGTAGCTCATGATGACAAAGTTCTTGCCAAGGCAACAAGTGTCGGCGTTAGTATCCATTTCATTGCTTGCCGTTGTTCCTGGTGTTGGTTGTTGCACTGGTCGCTGGGATGCAGCTGTGCTGGATGAGATCACCCTTACAATTTGTCTGATCTCACTTATCGCGTTTCAGGTTCTGCCGCTTGCCTGTTGGTTGTTTGCCTGTTGGTTGCGTCCGCCCATTGCTGTAGTTCCAGTCGTTCCCATAGTCACTTGTCATATCTGCGTGGCTGCTTTGGCCGGAATTGCAGCAGGCACGTTGTTGGATCTAATTGATGCTATTTCGGCTTGCAATTCCGCCAGCTGCGTTTCCACTTGTTGTGTTTGTGCGGCTTGTCCTGTTGCCCTTCTTGCTGGTAATCCTTGACTTTCTCTGTATGCGGCTCTTTCCTTTGCCATACGCTTGCGTTGCTTGTTGGTAAACGCTTGTAGGTGTGTCCAAGAGAAACGGTAGCTAGGATGGTACGCGACGTTTGTTGCCTCCTCCATTATTTTGGCTTCTGCTTCTGTTGCGATTGTTGTCAGCCCTACTTTCGCCCAAGTATTGTCCCCTATCGGTTGCATTGCTGGTTCCCTGGGGAAACTTTTCTCTCACTGCAGTTTGGTAGATTTGTAATGCTATCGTGAAAGTCATCAACATCGGTCTTTTGCCAATTTCCGTATCGATTGCCATCTTGTTCAGTTGTAGGAATGGTGCTGTAACCTTGTTTTGTAGGCTACGTAGTTTCATTGCATCTGAATGGACTTCTCTCCCCTGATGTTTGTCACATGTTGCATATGCTTTCTTTAACATTTGTTCAAACATGGACCAGTTCATTTTTGGTTGGATTCCTTCACCCTCGTAGTGGG